CTTGACCACCTTACCTACTTGTGGTGCTACTTTCGGGGAGCTGTGGACCTGCGCACCTAGACCCTTCTGTATGTTGATGTTACTAAGGGTTCTGCTATTTACTGTATATTTCCAAAATGCATCACTTCACATTAGTCTGGATTAAACTCCACCTGTCATTTATCCGTTGAAGTTTTTAGTTTATCTGCATTCTGCTGTATCCTTTGGTAATCCTCCTCACTATCAGTAGCTCTCCCAATTTTCATATCATCTGCAAACTCACTAATCGGGCCAATTATATTCTTCTCCAAATCATTTACATCTATTACAAACAGCAACGGTCCCAGAACTGATCCTTGTGGAACATCACTGGTCACAGATCTCCAGTCTGAAAAACACCTTTCAACCTCTACTCTCTGCCTTCTATGACTATGCCAGTTCTGTGACCATCTTACCAATTTACTGTGGATCCCATGACTTTACCTTTTGTATCAACCAGTCAAAGGCCTTGCTATAGTCCATATGGACTGAAGAGGATACAAAGATTTCATACAAGGTCCCAATAATTTCTTCACCTACCTCCCTCAGTTTTCTAGGATGGATCCCATCAGGACCTGGGGATTGTCTACCTTAAAGCTTTTTAAAACATCTAATGCTTCCTCCTTTCTTAAATATACATGCTCAGAATATCAACATAGCCCCCCTGAGCCTCACCATCAACCATGACTTTCTCCTTTGTGAATATTGTTGCAAGGTATTCTTTAAGGACCTCACCCACTTCCTGCAGCTCTACACATAAATTCCATCCTTTGTCCTTGAGTGGACCTACTCATTCCCTAGCCACTCTCTTGCTTCTTATGTATGGTTAAAATGTCTTGGGATTTTCCTTAATCCTGTTTGCCAAAGACATTTCACGCCCCTTTTAGCCTACCTAATTGCTTGCTTGAGTTCTTACATGCTTCTTTGTATTCTTCAAGGACTCTGTCTTCAGTTTCTTAAAACTTATATATGTCTCCTTTTTCTTTATGACTAAGCTCTCAATTTCTCTTTTGGTTTCCAAATCATACCATCCTTATCTTTCATTTTCACAAGAACATGCTGGTCCTAAAGTCTAATCAACTGGCCTTTAAAAGATTCCCACATATCAGATGTGGATTTACCCTCAAACAGCCACCCCTGATCTACATTCGCAGTTCCTGCCTAATATTGTAGCAGTTAGCCTTCCCCCAATTTAGTTCTTTCACTACTCTTACCCTTATCTATAACTAATTTAAAATTTACAGAATCACAGTCACTGTTCCTGAAATGCTCCCTCACTGAAACTTTGACCACTTGGCCGGGCTCATTCCCCAATACCAGGTCTAGTATGGCCCCTTCCCTAGTTGGATTTTTTAAAATATATTGTTTCAAAAAAACGATCCTGGACATACTTAATAGATTCTGCCCCATCCAAGCCCCTGGCACTACGTGAGTCCCAGTCAATATAGGGGAAGTTAAAAACCACCCACCTCAACAACCCTCTTGTTTTCACATTTTTTCCATAATCTGTCCACATATCTATTGTTATATCACCTGCTACGTACTGGGAGGCCTGTAGTACAATCTCATCAAAGTGATTGTACCCTTCCTATTCCTGAACTGTACACATATGGCCTTGTTGGATGAGCTCTCTGAGATGTGCTCCCTCAATACAGCTGTGATATCCTCCCTAAACAATAATGCAACTCCCCCAACCTCTTTTACATCCCACTCTATCATGCCTGAAACATCTAAATCCCAGAATGTAAAGCTGCCAATTTTGTCCCTCTCTCAGCTGTAATATCTACAACATCATTGTTATATGACAATGTGGTGTAAAATTCGTGTTATATATTCAATCTATGAGGTGAAGGATTTTTACTAAATGCAAATTAATAGATCAATGTAGAAGATCATGGAAAGTTCACGTGATAACATAAAAAATGCTGAAATGGTTCCTTTGGGCTCAATCTTACATAGATTGGCAGGGTGTTATTTTTGTTGGGTTTCATGGAGGGTTTTACTCTGCGAGGCCTAAAGAGTTTTCTCACGCGATTGTCCCACACACGCCTCATTAATGACTTTCCCCAATGCTATAGTACTCCTCTTGTCCAATGCTACCTGGATTCTACCACTCATCATAGCCAGAAGAAATCATCACTGTCAGGATATCCTGGAATAGACATTATCCCTGGCATTAGCACTATAGTTGAAAGATTATTGTGCACCCAAGCGAATGCTGGCAGTCCAGAGCTGCACTCTGACCTCAAATCTAGCAGAGAGTGGATGTTGGCACTCACTTCCCACAGGGGGAGCCTGGAGGTCTTCGTGGATGGGGCAGTGCAGAGCAAGAATATCCTCTTCCCCCAGGACTGACAATGGGCACTAGCCTATTCAACGTAACCACCTTAGTGTGGTCTCAGCTGTCTGGAGCAATAAATAGCAGTGTAAAAAAAAAGGTCACTGACCTACTCTGTCTACCAGGGGAAGTGCCACCATCTTCTCTCTGCTATCTTACATTCACTCTATCTCTGCTACTGCACCCACTGCCCAACAAGCCTCATGCTCTGCCACTTTCCCTATTGTGTGCAACATCTTCCCTCAGTCACTATCATTCACTCAGCCACCTCCATACCACTAATTCTGCATGGGGTCTGCAACTTCTACTCACTCACCAGGGTACCTCACTAATTTTCCCCCACCTGCACCAGCACCAATAGCTGAGCCACCCTCTTGTATCTCATTCAATCCCTTCCTTTCTCTCATTCCAGTAGAAAACGGCTTAATGGAGGGTAGAATGAGCTAAGATGGGTGGTGGGGTGTCCAACATAGCACCTCACCAACTATGTGGAGGAGGTCCTGATTGTCCCAAGTGTGCCCAAGCCCCTGCCTTTGACTTACTGCGCTTGAATATTCCTGTCTGACCTAGAGACAATACCATTTGGTAGATCCACATCCAGTGTGTCAGCTGCTAGTACATGGTGCAGCTGTGAGACTGATGTAGCATGGTCATCCCCTTGACCAATAACTGCTGACAACCATGACACGCTGCCCGTCCTTGTGTCAGCACTGAAATGAAACTCATGGCAAGGTAAGGCAGAGCAGGGCAGAGCTGCTATAGGCATAAGGTGAATGACTGCTAAGAAAACCTGCAACAGGGTTAGGATGAGCAACGCTGAGCTGTAGCGTGATCCAATCCATGATCTGGCTCCCTGTCGAAGCATAGCACACTTGCAGCATTCTTCCAAGGAAAGAGGCTTGTGCGCTCCAAAGTGCAGCATTGAAGAGCAGAACAATAGTTAAGTGGATCAGAGATGTGCCATGAGGGTGCAAACAGGCTGGTGTATATTGGATGTCAAGGTCTATGGGCATGGTGTGTATGCAGCACTGGCAGTGGAGTGTGCCCTCAGATATTGGCGCTGGGTGTCCAATAAGGCAGTCCAGTGGAGCATGCAGTGTGTTGGAATCACCAAAACACATGCTGCAACTTTTACCTCAGGAATTCTTCTTGTATAACTTCTATCTGGCAATGTGGTAGAATCACAGAATCACTACAGTGCAGGTAGAGGCCATTTGGCCCACTGAGTCTGCAACAGCTCTCCAAAAAGCCTCTCAACCAACTTCATCCCAGTAACCCCACATTTCCTATGGCTAACCCACCTGGCCTGTACATCCCTGAACACTACGGGCAATTTAGCCTAGCCAATCCACGTAACCTGCACATCTTTGGAACCGGAGCAACCGGCGGAAAGCCATGCAGTCACAGCGAGAGCATGCAAACTTGATACAGACAGTCATCCAAGGTAGAATGAGAACCTGCACATTAATGGGTGAGATTTGGTGTTAATGAGCGTGAGAACAAGTGATAATCCACCTTAATAGGCACCTCTCCACTCCCTTCTGAAAATCTTACCTTGATGCTTAGAATTCTTTTAGAAAGTGGAACTTGTTGATGTCACCATTGGGAATGGCCTTGCTGTACTTCTCGTGCAATTCTTCCACATTTCATACCATCACCAATGTCATTCAGGACCTTTTAAGGTTCCGTGCTTTGTGTCAGTCTTATAGTTTTTCCACCATAAAGTCACGCCTTTTTAACTATGTGAAAAGTTATACATGCCTGATTTATTTAGATTGTTATTTCAGTTTCCATATTTGAGCAGAAATACAATGTATCCATCTAGTGCTGACCAATATACAAAAGTTGTGGCCACATATTCAAAGACAGTGGTACTTTTAAAGTGTAAATTTTGGCCTACACCATTTCTTTCATGAAATACCATACCATAATTCAAAGGCTTAAAAAAATTCAAAACAACATGTGGAACATTCAGAATTGATCTGCAGTCACCTGTAAAAGTGCACTTTGTGTAAATTCCATCACATTTACAATATTTGGCACGTAACAATGGGGAGAAAAAAAAATAAACATTTTGTATTTTAGATATCAATTTTAGAAGAACTGGTTATAACAGGTGGCAACAATAAGTTATTAGTTAATATGCAATTTGAGGCTTTCCAAAAGGTCCACTAAAAAGATATGTGGAACCTGCTCCCAAAAACTTTGGAAATTGAGTTAACTGAAACCTTCAAGCCAGAGATCAATAGCTTATTATTAGGCAAGCACAAGAAGGGAAATGAATCACAAATAGATAAATCGTGTAGAGATCAGTCATGATCCAAATGACTGATAGAATAAACTGGACGGACTAATTGATCAATGTCTGTTCAAATGTTCTTAAGTCTTAATCAGCTTCACAATACAATACTGTAGAACTAATTAAATTGAAATCCCTTTCCCAAAATAGTTTATTTGCAGCTTATATATTGCTATTTTACTACTGGTGGGTATCTGTATTGTACTTCCCAATCTCATTGAAAAAAACTAATGTTGCATTACTACATAAGTGTGCTTTTAAACAAAAGTAAAATTTTACATGAACACTCCCTTTTCCTCTGCGAAAACATTTAATGCATGAGGATACAATTTATACTTCTGCAGCTTATGCATTTCTTTCCCACGGTTCAATGTATTCCAAATCCAGGTGAGCAAAGATTTCTTCTTCTGTCTTAGCATTCAGGAATACTTTCTGTAAAAGAGACAAGAAGAATCGACAGAAGATCAAATGATATGTAGCATGCTGCATTAAATAGTACTCTTTGAAGTAATGGTTATGGTGAAAAGTGCTTAATTTCTTTGTCTAATATATAATTCATGATATAATGATGCTTACATTCTGTTTAGTATTGGCTTTAATAAGATAAAGGAACAAACGTGTTGTTTTGCTAGAAATACCCATGTGACTGGATAGAATAGTGGCGATCTACCAGCAGCAGGCAAACATAAATCCTGCAAAGCAGCCCAATATATACCCACTGGGCTGGTAGGATTAAAGGCTTGGCAGTTTCATGTTACAATACTGAACACATTCAATGAGGCAATCTCCATTGCTTTCTGAGGAAGAGAACTCTGAAGCAACATGCTCTCTAAGCCATATGGCTACTGCGAGAGTCCACGGATGGTGATTGTCGTGTCAATGTCACCCCCAGGATTGAATTCCGGTTTTAGATGTCACTGCTGCACATGGTCCTCAGAGGTCTATGCAGAGAAAAGCATGGGAAGCAGAAATGCTGCTCTGGAAACTAATGATACCCATACAAAAATTCTCCTTGCCTCTGAATGGCCAATCCACCTAACCTGCAAATGTTTGAACTGTGGGAGTAAACTGGAGCACCCAGAAGAAACTCACACAGATACAAGGGGAAGGTGCAAACTCCACACAGAGAGTCACCTAAGGGTGGAATCGAACTGGGTTCCTGGTGCTGCGAGGCAGCAGTGCTAACCACTCAGCCACTGTGCTGCCCTTGATATTTCAATAAGATCAATTGTCTTTCTTTTAAACTCCAACCAGTATGACCCAAGCTGCACAACCTTTCCTCGTAAGGCAACCCCTTCATCTCACAAACCAGCCTACAGAACTTCCTTGGAACCATTTGCAATGCAAGTAAAACCTTCCTTAAGGAAGGTGACCAAAACTATGCGCAATATTCTTAGTGTGGTCTCATAAATGCTCTAAACAGTTTCAGCAAGACTTATCTATTTCTACAATCCATTGCCCTTGCAATGACAGCAACATTACTCTGCCTACTATTTGCTGTACTATTTGCTTGCTTTTTGTGATTCATTTTCAAGGATACCAAAATCCCTCTGTTGCACAGATTTCTACAGTTTTTCCCTATTTAAATAATATCCTGCTTTTGTACTCTTCCTGCTAAAGCAGCCAACTCTCATTTTCCTACATTGCCAATTTTTTCCCCTACTCTTGACCAACTGAACTTCCAGAGTTGGGTGCAGGTACAGTTACAATGTTTAAAAAACATTTGGATAAGTTCATGAATAAGAAATTTTTGGAGGGATATGGGGCCAGGAGCAGGCAAGTGGGACTAGTTTAGCTTGGAATTATGGTCGGCACGGACTGGTTGGACCGAAGGGACTGTTTCTGTGCTGTATGATCTATGACAATGACTAGAGTCAAGGATGACAAATTCTCTAAGATGGGTGATAAGTTCTTTGATGATGAATTCGCAAAACCAGTACTACCAGCAGATTCTGAGGTCTTTCAATAACAGGATATACATTGTGGTCCTTAAGATTAAATTTGATACCTTTATATTAAAATTACTCATGTAGTCTTTAGAGGTTGTTATTTGTATCCTAACAGTTATCAGGCCATTGCAGTATATTTAAGCTGACTAAATGACAACTGACCAAAGCCGCAGGACTGGCAGCATTACACTAGAACAGTTACTGTAAAGATCACAGCAAAATCCTTTCTTGAGTCTCAGAATAGCACCTGGACATTACATCATTATCCAGCCACACTGGAACTTCCTTGTTAAGCAGGTATTGAGCAACATGTAGAGTTAGGTGTAGTAGGAACTGCAGATGCTGGAGAATCTGAGATAACAAGGTGTAGAGCTGGATGAACACAGCAGGCCAAGCAGCATCATAGGAGCAGGAAGGCTGACGTTTCGGGCCTAGATCCTTCATCAGAAATTTTTCTGAAAATCATTCAGAAATTTATTCAAAAATTCATTCATTTTTCTGATGAAGGGTCTAGGCCCGAAATGTCAGCCTTCCTGCTCCTATGATGCTGCTTGGCCTGCTGTGTTCATCCAGCTCTACACCTTGTTATGTAGAGTTAGGTGTCCTGTTTCAGAACTACCTTTAGCCTTCTATCTGGCTTTCTACCTTCTACTCTCTCTCCAGTCACCTTCCTATCCTCCCCCCAGCAGGAAATTATATCTTCCACCGAACTCATTATTAATGGTTAGCAATAGTATCATGATTTGTTTTTGTTTTAAATTTCTCCTTTAATGGAGCGTAAGAGGAGATATAAAACTGAAATTTGTGTAGATAAGAAAAGGTTTAAGTTTTAATTCAGTTCCCGGTGTTCTGTCAGTTTTAACGTCCATCCCTGCTTTTCCAGCTATAAAATGAAGATCAACAGACATCCTTGGTTCTGAAGACAGGTAAGAGGCATCCCTCATTATATGTTGACTCTCATATCACAGTGCCTTTCATGGTCCATGTACTTACTGTAAATACATTTTAAAATTTAAACATTCAAATACATTTTGAAGATGATGTTTCCACCCTTTTGCTTTTCATACAGGATACACTACTCTGTGGCCAAGGACAGATGGGCAGTTTGCCAGACTTTTACTAATTAAAGAGGTGCAAGGTGATTCACCTCTAATTTTTGTCTATTCCTGGTGGAAGACTTTTGCCTTGGCTTGACATATCCCAGTTGGCACAGCTAACATTCAGAATTTACCTTCTGATGAATTGCAGAACAAAAGTGCTTTTCAGAATTACGTGACACAGCACACTAATAAGCTAACGCACCTTGCTACCTCTTCCCAAAATGTTTTGCACATAAATAGAACACTACATGGTAAATGGACAACGCAGACCTATCCCAAAAGTCAAGAGAATCTTAATGACTCATACAATTGATGAGGTCCTACTTATCATGAAATAGTCTTCCCAGCACCACTCTTTAGCCTTCAAATTTGTGAAAATGTCAAACCCCAGAATTCATTGTACTGACAGTAATACCAAAAACAATGTACTCAGTATATTATCAAGATGTAAAATATGCCGTGAAAGCTTGCTTGTAGCTCGGGTTCAGTTTACTGTGGTTTTTTTTTACTTCTAGACTGACGTAAATCAAAATTCATTAACATGCCACTTTGTCAGAAAACACTAATGGGATGACACAGGTTTAATGATGGAAGTCCGCAGGAATATTTATTTCATGCTTAATGGAGGAATAGATAATGAACAACCTGCCTCCTTTCTCACCTTGGTAGTCTATTTATTCCAGGCTGGAACAAAAAGGATGGAAACACATTATCTGTCAATCAATTTTAATAAATACAAAATGGTCATGCTTCTTGTCATTGCAATCCTGCAGTTATGTCACACCCCTGCTCAAAATTATAATTTTTTTTTGTTTCTCAGGCCTCAAAATAATTACATTTTTGGCTTGTAACATTATCATTATCTTTGCTTAGCTAAAAAGCAGCTGCAAAATATGATCCATGGCTTTTTGTGTGCCTCCTGTTTGTCAATTGCCATTCATCATCAATAACTATAATAAGAGTGAAAAGTGCTAGTTGATGTTTTGCCAGTAAATGCATTAGCAATTTTTCTACCCTTTGCATTGTGGTAAATTAATCTCTTATCAATGTCACCAATCTGCTCTATTATAACCTGCTGCATTCCCTAAGAAATGGCACTTTCATCTCACATTTTATTGTAAACTGGCTGTAATGATTTCCATAGAGTAAACTTTGTGCAGAACTATTTGCACATCACTAGATTTTTCTAAAAAGCATAATGTCAATCACCTGCAATTCCTGATTCAATACAATTTCCTTCCTGAATCTAAATCCAACAAATTGGGATTCGGTTTCAGCTGCTGCTTTAGTTCCTTAATTCTTTCACGGGAAAACATATTGAATATTTTGACTGCAAGTTCACTTTCATTATTTGGTACAGCAAGGGAAAACTACAGAAACGTCATGCAATCGTATGGACATGAAATGACTAGAGTTCAATGAAGACTTCAAATAAGAGAAAAAAGCAAACTTCAAGCAGACTTTCATGACTGCTTTGACCCCAAGCCATCAGGAGACTTCTATGATTTAATAACAAAAATGTCACAGAATGGGTTAGTCTTATACTGCAGTCTTGTAGGCTATCCCCAAGGAGAAATTGACGTTAAAAATGAACTAATGGTTAAAAGTGTTGGTCTGAAATTCTGAGGATGCATCTTTTAAACATTAGAATTGAAATTCAAAGTCAGGGAACTGGAGTCTAAACACAGGTAAGATGGTCTGAAGACTACTATGATTTCACATGCTCGCCCTGGACCAGCAGTGACTCAGTTACATATCACAATGGCTTGCCCGAGATCAGATAGCTAACAACTGCTGGGCTGCTGAGGAAAGGAACTCATTTGACAAATACCTGGGAAATTACCATGAAAATGAACACAAGCCAATGTACAATTTCCATCCTTTAGTTTAGAAGATTGTTCACTGGGTACCTGTAATCTTTTGGTGTATTGACAGCCATGACTGTATACTCAGTGAATTACTCCTTGGATTAGCGTCTCAAAAATCAGAATTAACTTACACCTTGGTTTAATTTTTCAGATTTGGTACAACCAAATTTTGTGAATTAGTCTCTCAACCCTCTGCAGTTCTACAACACATACATCAACAGCAAATTATTAAAGAAGTTTCTTTACGTGTCAATCAAGCTTGGGGAAATCGTTGAATGTGACTTTAAGTATATTAGCAGCAATAAAACAAAAGTTCAGTTGATATTTTTGACAGTTAACATCAGGGCCCAGAAAATCTATGGAAGCTGAACTAGACTCCTGCTCTTAAGGACGCACAATGCTTTAAGATAAAAGGATTTGCTCGAAAACTATGTCATTCTACTAGCTCTGTTAGATTCGAAATTACATCCTAAAGAAAGAATGTACCATTTGCACATTTCTACTTTCATATCTGA